TTTCATAAAAACTATTAGCAAGCCAAGATTGAATAAAATAATTTGAATTTAAACAAAAACAACGTTCGCCTCTGCTCAATTATGTCGCGTACCGGTTTTGTTAGAAGTTGGTTGCTGTTGTTCGTCCACGGGCTGCAGTGAACACTCATCAGATGGATGTTAGTTCGTTTGTCAAGCTCTTATAAAACACCTAGCCCTGAAACGGAACGCAACGTACGTTTAAAGTGACGTAGAAACCAACCAAACCAAAACCGACGTCAATTCATTGTTACAAATATACACTCTTACGCAAAACATCTAAAAAGACAAACAAATGACGTATTATTGTATAGGATAAGATAGTTGTGTAACGTAACTAGTTTTACATTCTGGTAATAATTCTAAGGTCAAGGAGATAGCGGTGTTTTGACTTGATTACTAGGAAAGCTAAAAAACGCGCATAAGTACCTATAAGTAACAAAGTAGATATTCCTACTATCAGATAACAAAACAAAACAGCTCGAACTACTCAGAAATACTACCGCGTATGAGCTTCCTGTTTGGAATGTTCGTCGACAGTCTAGTCTAGAACATAGGTCTCCCGCATAGTTTGCCACATATATGGGTAGTTGCCACTCTTGCCAGACGGGTTAGCAACTGCAGCTTTTTAAATCATTTAGTTGTTAACAAGGTCATGCTACTGCCCATACCCCCATTGATTTCCCCACGTCGTCTCGTACGACGCGACACCTCATGATACGGATCGTGTATTCTCGTAAGCAGTCACTAAATATAAACAGATATTATGCGAGATATTGCACATACGAAATAAATTAGATAAGATCAGCAGGAAAATTAAAACATGGTGTTAGGTTTAGTGGTGGAGATATTTTAAAAGTTTCGATGTCCATAGAATACGCTTCTTAAGACATTTTCGCAATTTTTTTAAATAACATCACCGTGACGTTGTTCGTCTCCTAAAGTAGAGTGGATGCCCTTAATACCACCCACGCCACTAATACCAGCGTTTTCGCCTTTTTACTTCAAAAATAAGATTTCTAGTATGTCTCAAGTCTCAACTACAAGTATTGTCTGTTAAAAATTTTTCGTAACTAGAGGAAAGTATATTTCAAATATTACCACACAGTTATAAATCTATCAATATTAAATTTAAGATTAAAACATGTAGGTAGGTAGGTACCGTTGTAGAAACTGCCAGCAATTAACTCGATCCAAGTCAAGCAACACCGGCAGCAAAAACCGAAACGGGTTCGCATGTTGTTGTGATGTGCTTACTTGTAGGTTTCAGCCATTTGTAAACGAAATATGAAAACTTCGAAGTATACATAAGCAAGCTGTTTATTACTATTATTATTATTTTTGCTATTTTTAATACTATCAATGATATTAACCTTACTAAATATTCCCCTACACCACTTCTAGCAAGCTTAAAATGCTTGTGTTAGGAGTGTTTCACGACAGTCCGTAGTTGAATGGCAAATTCGAACCCACGACCTCTGAATTCGCTATTCGCACCCTGCGTTGTCGCTTTATGTATATTTTTACTTTTAAATTTTTAGTTATTTGAGGTCGGCTCTTACCACAGAAATCTAAATAATAAGTGCCTACATTATTTAGATTTATATTATTTAGATGTCTATGGCTCTTACCTATTATTCAAATGTATTCTTTAACCCTTTTGAGTGGATCGAAGAATAATGCATTTGTCTAAATAATTAGATACCTTAAAAACTTCACCCCTATGTTTCCCACCCTTAGAGGAAAAAAATCCCAAAATTCGTATGACCACCCCAAGTTTAACCATTAAAATCATCGAATATATCGCGTAACGTATGTAGGTACATACGAGGGTGGATTGAAAAGTACTCGGCCTAACCAAGAAAATAAACACATATTAAATCAGTTATATTTTTATTTTTCTACATAATCACCATCAAGTTCAATACACTTTTGCCACCTCCCCTTCCAAGCATTTAGACCGTTGAAAAAAAATGATTCTTCCTTAGAGTCAAAATATGCGTCTACAGCTGCTTTGACCTCGTCGTTTGTCGAAAATCTTTGACCTCCCATGTGCTTTTTTAGGTTAGAGAACAGAAAGAAGTCTGATGGTGCCAGATCAGGTGAATACGGCGGATGCGGTAACAGTTCAAAGCCACAGTTGTGAATTTCAGCCATTGACTGTACTGACTTGTGAACACGGGCGTTATCTTGATGAAACAGGACTTTTCTTCTGAGCATTCCTCGACGTTTTTCTTTTATTTCCTCTCGTAAACGACGTAGTAAGGTGCAGTAGTAATCAGAGTTTATAGTCTGACCCCTTTCAAGATAATCAATCATAATCACACCTTTCGAGTCCCAGAATACTGAAGCCATCACCTTATTTGCCGACAAAATCGACTTAGCCTTTTTAGGGGGTGGTGAACCAGGTCTTCTCCACTGTTTTGATTGTTGTTTTGTTTCTGGTGTACAGTAATGAACCCATGTTTCGTCCATAGTAACAAAACGATTCAAAAAATCATCTGCATCGGCTTCAAATAACTCCAAACAGTCGCGTGAAATAGTCAATCGCGTCCTTTTTTGTTCAACTGAAAGCAGTCGCGGAACCCACCTCGCAGACACCTTGTGGAAACCCAACTCGTTGACAATGATGTTTTGAGTTCGTATATAAGAGATGCCTATAATCTCGGCTATCTCTCTAATTTTTAATCTGCGGTCTCCAATTATTAAATCAAGTACTTTTTTAATATTTTCGTCAGTAGTTGACGTCGAAGGCCTTCCAGAGCGGGGTTCATCTTTCACACTCTCTCTACCACGCTTAAATTCTGCTATCCATTTTTTGACGGATGAATATGACAGAGCACAATCGCCTAATGTACTGACCATGTCATCATGGATGGCTTTTGATGATAGCCCCTTCTTATGGAGGTACTTAGTGACGGCACGCTGCTCGATTTGCTCCATTCGCGGAAATTATGTCAGATTACTTTGTTAATAAATTTATAAAATCACAACTAATTATCGCACACGTTTCGAACTTCACACAATGAACTAGTCTCAACTGAACTAAGTAATGTGGGTAGATTTGATTTTTAGAATTGAATGGATCTGTGTTATGTCGAGTACTTTTAAATCCACCCTCGTATAAAAACAGAACATAGATACATTCGAATTGAGTATGTCCCTTTTTAAGTTAGTTAAAAAGCGCTCGTAAATAGGTTTCGTATGTAACATAACAACATTTGTGATGTTCGTATTAATTTTTATGCAAGTCCACTGTTGAATGTAGGCCTCCTTCTAGGAACGCTACAAAACACGGTCCCGAGCTCTACCTGCATCCATCAACTTTTTTTATTCCATTGGGAATTCCCAGTATCGGCCGCGCCATAGACGGTATTATTCAGGTAAATGAAGTTGGATATGCCATAGTGTTGTTTTAATGTTATTGATGTGTCATTTAAATTGTCCGGTATATCGTCTTAGTAATTAGTTCTAAAATATTACGCTTAAATATTTTCTGTTTGAAGAGTTTTGTTTGGTTGCCCCGTTTATGCTGAACATTTTAGCTCTTCCAAATTCTAACGCCGAGTGTGAAAGGGTGTTCAGCCAAATAAATGACACAAAAACTAAGAACAGAAATAGATTAATTACAGAAACAATTAAGGGCAATATACAACATGTTGGCAAAACAGGCCATTTGTCGTCATGGCTGCAACTGTGTTTTTCTGCCAACTGACAAGATGCTAAAATCTTTTAACTCTAAAATTTACAAAAAATGGGAGGCAATCGACAGTGACAGTGATTAAACTTTTTTGTGTATTAAAATACTAAGATATTTAGTTAGTTTGAGTATAGTATATTTAAAATAAATACATATTTTGGTTCATTAAAAATTTATTTCCTTTTAATAAGTCATTTAATTACACTGTAAAAATACACTGTATTTTTTTATCATAAAACACTGTATTTTTCTCTCAAACACCGTAATTTAATTTGGACAACACAGTATTTTCGAAAATCTGATCTGGCAACCCTGCCCCTGAGGGTTGGAGGGAGAAGGAATGCCTAGTTTCCAGTAAAAAGGACTTCTCTACACTCACCATGCGAAACACAGCAGCAAATTTTAGAGAGCGTGTTCCTACCCTGGTCGAGCTTACGCATTAATTCTACAGCCGTAATATAGCTCCAGCATGGCACTACCGTACCGTAATCCGTCGTCACATTTTTAAAAACTTCACATAACCTAGAAATACTTTCAATTTACCAGTCACGCAAATTTCCTCAAAAGGTTTTCCTTTAACGACGAGCAGGTGGCATGTCAGTTACAATTAAATATTTTCGTCTTATTATGTACTTTAATAAGACTATAACTACTGTAAAATAATCCAGAACTGCAATTAAAATCTTCAATGAGAATAAAGGGACCTAGTAGATAGCCTTGGGGTCACCCGCGATAACACAAAGAATGCAGGACAATATCCTTCGATGTTTATACTTCCTGACTGCGTTCACACTAGTAGAATAATAATAACCAAAGTATAAACTTCCACATTATCTACGGTTTCAAGGTAACGATCACGAATACAATGGTAAACAATATAGAACGCTTTTGACAAGACAAGATTGAGGGGATCCACGACACTTTTATGTCACCAGGACGGCGCCACTTTGGAATGATGTGATTGACATACTTGGCAGATTTCATGGAAGGGAGGATAAATTGTTAGGAAAATATAAAATAAAGAAACATTAATTTTTGAGATTTGATAAGAACATTGTTTTTTTTGAATAAAATCAATTTGCAATATATAATTTTACACAATTATTATAGACATTAAGAAACCGCATGGTAGCAATCATCTCATTACCAGGGGTTATTATCAATCAATTATATTATATTATTTAATAAAACTAATTTTTTTATATACATTAAATTTTCGTAAATATACTGAGAGGCCAAAGTTAATATATTTTTTTCTTTATTATGTAGAAACTGTACTCACCGCGCTGAATGACCAGCAAGAGCCGCACTTGCCCTGGTCCTTGACATCAGTGACTGCACCGTGCTTGCGCCAGTCCACCTGGTCGGGGAACTTCACGTTAGCTGGAGCGATGAAGCTAGCGCCTCGTACTTCTGCACCCTTGCTGCCGTACAGTGTTTTGTTGTGCCTGCCGACGTTTATGCTCGTTACTGGTATGAATACACTTTCAGAGACATTTTGAGGTTTTACCCTATTACGTGATAGAGCCACGCTGTAGATATATTATGGTTGTAGCACGAATGGGACCACGTTCTCACAGAATACCAGCGTTAAATAACAGCTTAATACTGCTGTGTTTCGTATTGTGAGTGTAGAGATCCGGAGACCCTTTTTTACCGGAAACGAGGCATTCCATCTTAGTCCTCAGGGGTAGTATAAATGTATATGTCTATGGGCCACAGCATCCACTTACCATCAGGTGGACTGTATGCTCTTTTGTCACCCTAATTCTATAAAAAAAACAGTTTCTAGCAAGTAGTTCTTTTTACTTACTTTGCATTGGGACAAAACGAGATATAGCTTTAAACTGTTTATGGTCATTTTAAGACAAACCACAGAAATTAAGACAATAATAAGCTTTTAATTTTATATCGTTTAACTTATGATTAGCGTTATTCAGTAGATGGTTCCGTGGCGCAGTGGCTTAACAATCAGTAGGGCCACGGGTTTGAACCCCGCACGAAACAAGTATTGGTATAACTTACAAAATTAATACACCGCGTCTATTATGGGTTATAAATAATACGATACTGCAGAAAATCCTAGTGTTGGGTAACGTATTTTTAAAAATTAAAAAATAAATAAAGTCAGTAATCTGCAATAACAATACAAACATAACACGAAATCACCAGACCGATAAGCGATAACCGAATGTAATGATGCGTGATTTACACGCATCATTGTTATTACTGGACGCCTGATTACAAAGTTCGCGTACCACAAATAAATAATTGGATAGGTACGTTGTTGGTTTGTTTGCTACGTTTTTTCCTTTACATTATATTCTCTAGGCCAAAGCAAGTCTTATTTTTGGGAATATATTTTAGCGTGTGACGGATTTGGGCAATTCATGCTCTTTTTAAATGTTCTGTTTATGGCGTAGTCTTCTTTTATAAAACAAGGGTGGCAAACGTGCACACGTTCCCACCTGATGGTAAGTGGATGCGGTGGCCTATAGACGTCTAAATTTATCCTCGATTAAGAATCAACATGCAGATGCGTTGTCACCCCCGGAAACTAAGATGGAATGCCTCGTTCCATTAAAAAGGGTATCCGATTCTCTACACTCACCGCACGAAACAGCTGTATTAAGCTACTATTTGCTACGCTGGTATTCTATGAAAGCATGGTTCTGCCCCGGTCGAGCCGAGCCATTCGTCCTACAACTATAACATAGCTGCAGTATAGCTCTATCACGTAAATTACCACGTGGTGTGATGTGATGGGTACTTCACTTCCCTTTAAAATGGTCTAGGAGGGTTTTGGTTATCACATAATATGTCATACTAGTAAACAGTTGGTACTTATGGGGACTGGTCAGCTTCTTCAGCTGTGTCCTGCGGTATTCTTACAGCGCCACTACACGCCACTTTTAACATTTCCATCAACTTTTGACCCATTATAAAAAATTTGTTTTGTTTGGACAGAAATGAGTTGCCAGAATCGGTCGCGCTTATCAGAAAACGAAATGATTATTATACTCTTTGCCTTATCACGCGAAATTATACTGAACGTAACAGTGTTGGTTTACTTATGTCCGGAGGGCGGACGGATTTGTCACTGTCCAGAAACAGTTGGCACGTCGGATATGAATGCCGATTCACTCATCATGTACTGCAGTTAATTTTGCCTGAAATAGTATTTTTTTTTAGCCCATAGACTTACGTGCGTGCATGTTTTTTGCGAGTATGTTCGTGGTTTTTTTCGTATGTTTTGTTCTTTTTATAGAATAAGGGTGACAAACGAGTACACAGTCCACCGAGTGGCCCATAATTATCTAATCTATTCTCAAATTTCAAAATGTGAGAAGGTCCTTCCCCGACCGCGCCGACCCATTTTTGCTACAACCATAATATAGCTGCACCTGCAGGCCTGCAGCATGGCTCTACCACGTACAATATAAAGAATTTTAAATTATAATGTTACTGTTGCAAAAAGGTCTTGCTGGGTTTCTCGCTGATACTTCCCAGGACATAGATATACAATACATAATATCCCAACAAAGTGCCAAGTAAAAAAATAACTCGATACAAATATTTTTAATTTATATTGAAAAAAAAAATCTATTCTATTGTTAGGGTCATCTAGGGTTTGTGACCTTATATTATGTGCGCTTCGTTATTACGAATTATCAGTCAATAATGTGTCACATGATTTAATAGTACCTATGTGCGATTAAGCTGTCGTAAAATGTATGTTTAGTATTATTACTAAGTATGCATTAACGCGAAGGTTGTACTAGATTATTACCGGTCTGGGAAGAAGCGGGATCTATACTCCTGGTATAGGTTTTATTCCATATACTAACTTATTATATATTCCCGGACGATTCGCACACTTTGCAGTACCCATGGTCACGGGGGACGGGGAGTCCATATAATACGCGACAAAACCCGTAAAAACTAGTTTTACTTAAATCTACATTCATCCTCAATTAAGAATCGAAAAGCAGATGCGTTGTCACCCCTGAAGGCTAAGATGGAATTCCTCGTTTCCAGTAAACAAGGGTCTCCGATCCTCTACACTCACCATACAAACCACTGCAGCATTAAGCTGATATTTTACGCTGGTATTCTGTGAGAGCTTAATCCTAGCAGTCAGCAGCAGTCTACTACGTATACATTTCGTGTGAATGTCTGTGTATCTGTATCGTACTCACTTGGCGGTCTTGTTGAAGCCGTTCATGGTGTGCACGAACTCGTGGTGCAACATGTCACCATACTTGTTCTGCTTGAGACGGTACGTGACGAGCCCCCGCGCGAACTTCTGGTTGTGCTTCGCGATCTTGTGCTTGTTCTCGGCGTAGATCTTCATGCGGAACTTGTCCTCCACCTCACTCTCGTACTCTTTGTTGTGCTCCATCTGGACGATACCAGCTTTATTTATAACAGGGTACCAAGCAAAATAAAAATACACCTGAAGTTAAGTGGCTAAAGACCCAACTATAAATTCCAAACAGAGGGTGCTATTCTACTTAGGTTCTAAGAGAAATAAGCGAAAATTAAAAATAGTGATGAAAAAACTATAAAATAAGACTTCCAACGAATATTCAGCTATTGTTTGGTGTTCGGCCTATTCGACTACTTTTATCCTATTCGGACAAATACCAAATATTTAGGTAAGATGTTTTGTCGTAGTCAGATAATTGGTAAAAGGAAAATATTGATTTATTTTATATGTAATGAATATTTTTTGTAATCATTAAACTAGTCATAGGTAAGTACATAATCAAGTTACGTAGTATAAAAATTAAGAAAAAATTACTAACACATAAATGTCTATGCGCTTGAATTATCGTAATTAAAATTTGGAAGATTATGGTGCAGAGAGACTATTATTTTTTGCATTTTTGACAGTCGTTTATTTCTTTTTTCCTCGTAGACTATCACAGCTTCAGTGAAAAAACGCTCTGAATAAAAACTGCTTCCTGCCCGGCCGAACACTTGCCTATTATTCGGCTAATCGGTCAGGAACTGTTCGTGTTCGGTATTGGGCGTAGCCGAATATACTATTCGTTGCAAGTCTATTAAAAATAGTTAAAAACAAGTGGTAGAATTAAAAAAAAACAGACTTCAATATAAATAAAATGATAACGTCATCAATGTAGTCGAAGTCAATTAAATACGCATTATTAAGAATAAAACTACTGGTCAGACCTTCATCAAATTTACATGGGACCACCACATGAGAAGCACCAGCTTTCTAATAAAAAAGATTTATCAAAATCGGTTTAAATATAAAAAAAATTCTGAGGTAACATAAAAAATACAGTCAAATTGAAAACCTCAAACTCTTTTCGAAGTCGGTTGAAATCGAAATGTATCATGGCTTTTATGTATATATATTTCTTCATTACAGCTCATCACCGTCCGCTGCTGAACATAGGCCTCCCCCATAAATTGCTCCACAGGGGAGGATATAGCGTAGTTACCACGCTTGGCAGGCTGGTTGACGTTTTATTATTTTGGTTGTGATGAGGAAGATGCCACCGCCCATCTTGTGTTTCATGTTCCCTGTGCCGTTACTTGCGACGGCCACGCGATGACGTGGGGCAGGGGATTCTCGTACACCATCACTACACAGTGTAGAATTAAAAATAATAAACAATAAGGTGTTTGGCATTTCCACTTATCCATGTCCAGTTCTGTTGTCCACTTCTTGTTCTTCAAGTGAAGCTCAATCCACCATCTCAATATTCTCCTTTTACAATATAGTTTTTAATCTGTGATTGAGACCCATAGGGTACTAAGTATCATCAGCCCAGAAACATGTTCGGCCCATATAAACGATTTTTGTTATGAATCACAATTTAGAGTTCAATTGCCATATTCAGTACATAACATGATTTATGGAGGCCTTACATTCTACCATGGTAATGGCATGCGATTTCTTTACTTTTATTATTATTACAATGAAGTTAGTATAAGTTCATTTTATTACGCAGTTTGTAGCTAATTAATTTTTAACATCATTAATGAGATAATCAAGTTTACTAATAAGTACATTAATAATATATAAATAAGTAAAGAATTATAATTAGATAATTTATTATATGTTTATACTTAGTTAATTAATGTTAACTACCTTAAACTAACTTAAAAATATTGGTTGACCCTGCAGGCCATCGCTGGAACTTCCCGCTAATTTCAAATACGAAGCGCTCTAAATTTCACCAATTTATGTTGCGAAATCTGTTATGTTAAAAAAAAACGTTTTTTTCAAATTCTGTCCAAACGGCATCCGACGTCATTTTTTGAAGTTAAAAACTGATTAGTTTTTGAAATCGATCGGTAAAGCCGTTTAAAAGTTATTTAAAAAAAGTTTTTCAAATAGAAATAGAAACTTTTTTATTCAATGTAGCTTATAAAAATACTTATTGAAAGTCACTTTTTTAATTTACCACTGGTTCGCAAAAAAAACCTCTGTCCTGGGAAGAACCAGCGAGAAACCCAGCGGGACTATTTTTTTTAATAATAGCTTACAATCATGTTTACAATCAACAACACAAGACAAATTAGAAATAGCTTGGTAGCGATCACCCTTCCCAGGGGTTATTATCATCCATAAATTCCTTAATATTATAATAACCCTTTTTATACAAACTTAGTTTAATAACATTTTTGAACTTTGTGTATGACAAATTTTGTATATTTTCCGGGAGTTTGTTGTAAAAGCGTATACATCGCCCCAAGAATGAATTACTTCGGATTCGGTGGAGTCGAGTAACTGGTACTACTAGCTTGTGTCTGTTCCTAGTATTTACAGAATGAATGTCACTTATTTTCGCAAAACTACTTTTATTTTTGTGTACGTACATTACATTTTCATAACTGGATTGAGAGGCCAGAGTTAATATATTAATTTCCTTAAATTTTTGTCTCAGTGACTCTTTTGGTTTTAAATTATATATTGCTCTAATGGCCCTCTTCTGTAAAATAAATATAATTTCAGTGTCAGTCGCGTGTCCCCATAGCAAAATACCATACGACATAATGCTATGGAAATAACTAAAGTAAACTATTCTAGCTGTTTCAACACTGGTAAGAGTTCTAATCTTTTTTACAGCATAAAAACTTTTATTTTAGAGGTTTCTCAAAATCTATTTGTCCAAATCAGTTCATATTATCACTAAATCTATTCCACATTGAGATCTTTAGAACGCCGCAAACTGCATCTCAATTCTCAATCGATCAAGACTTCAAAAGTAATGAAAGGTTTACATACTTACACACACGCACGCACACGCGCACACACACCCACAGACACACATATATCCTTACGGATGTCCACGTGAAATTAGTCAGAATTGCTTCCATGAAAACTCGATTTTTGAAAATCGGGGTGAAACCAATTATTTCCCTATTTTTGAAAATTATCAATTTTCTTAGCGGGAAGTTAAAAAAAGCTTCAAGTAAACAAAAGTTAGTAGGTACAGACCTTATATAGATAGTCCTTGATTGTTCAAATTACATAGTACCTATATGTTAATACGGACGAAGTAATTAAACAGAGCATTATTCATGATACCCAAAGAGTTGAAAAGTGCATAAGTAATTGTGGAATTATAAATGGGATTATGAAATTAACATGGCTTGTATAAAAACAAAAAAAACTCAATTACTGAGTACTAAATATTAAAAAGTAAAAAAATACTGTACCTTAAACGCGTTCCACTCTTCCTTGACCAGGTCGAAGAACGAAACTGCGCTAACAGCCGCGACCACGCAAAGCAGCACTAGCAAGCCCCTCATCCTGGAGCTAAAACAATAGGGTAGCTGTAACGAATCCAAACGAGGTGGGCAAGCACGAGGGTTGTAATTAATTTATTTTATACAAATTGTTTTATAATGTTGATCTTTTCTTTTATAGATCTATAGAGAACGCCTCAAGGTAAGTAAACCTTTGTTCTTTTTGTGCTACAAAAATTTGCTAAAGCTAAAAGTCCGTATAAAATCAAGGACCAGTCACAGATGTACGGTAGTTTTCCGTTCGGAATTTTGCAGGCAAAACGGGATTCTGTATGTGTGGCCGACCCTTTCGTTCCGTTTCGGAATTTCGAAACGGATTTCCGAACGCAGCAAGACCATAAAAATCAAGGACATGTCACACACTTGCAGTAGTTTTACGTACGAAATTTTGCGGACAAAACGGGATTCCGTATGGCTGAGCAATTCGTTCTGTTTCTGAATTGCGTAGGTATGTATGCGGCAGGCCTGTGTGATAGGTAACGATTATTTGTATTCAGTCATGCCCAGACTATTTTATTATTTTTGTTGGGAACAGCTTTAATAACATAAGTATATTTATACCTATGTATGTTTACTTTTAAAATCAATGTACCTACATCAAGAAAAATTTTATGTAGGTAGGTACGTTTTTACACAAGGTTAGTTATTTTTTCATAAAAGTGACCAGACGATTTATCCTTTTTTTATTAAGGTATAATATCTTCATTTTAGTAATTTAACGTCGCATTAATTTAAATAAAAAGTGCTATAATTTATTTCTTTTAGGCTAACTTTTAAAATCTACTATTATTCTATAATACAACCATTTCTTTGATAATAAAGATAAAGATTGTAAGCATACAGTTTATAGAATTTTCTTAATACCCGAGCATCAAGGATGATAAATATAATCTACTACGTTATAGGCTAGAAAACAGGAACTCCCAACAAATTGTTCTATCACACATTAATTATCCTGTTTGTATATCGGATTGCTGTAGAAGAATTCAAAAATTTATAATTTGCAAGGGATAAAAAAAACATATCCTAAATACATATTTAGCATTCCTTTCGTAATTTGGTAACCTAATTACCTATATCTTATTCACTTCACGCATTTATGATGCAAGAATCAACTTTAGATACGGCGTAATTTATATAAAATTACACAAAGAATAAAACTAATTGCATCTGAAATTTATTTGTTTTCATTCTAATCGCTATTTCCTATCTTACTACGTAGTCACAGAGTTCCTTTCAATTGTTACGCATCTAATGTGACTATAACAAAGACATAAACAAAAAGCGATGGACCCACGGATCTAATCCTAAATCCTTGAAATTGTACACCTATACGATACTAAAATACTAATGATGATATAAATGTGAATTGTGAACAACTTACCTTTAGTAAACCAGAATAAAACAAAATATACTGAATAAATCCCGCAGAAGAACAGAACAGGCAACTAAATAATGTAATGTAATTACTTTATACAATCTTGAATCTAACTAATAAACAAAGACGTCTACGTTCTACAGATTGTTAATTTCTTGTGAGTTGTGCTTGTGCTTGTGTAACTTTTGTGAGATTCTGAGTGAGTTTGTGATTTGTGAATGCAACGAAACTGAACAAAACTACTGAATCACCGTTCAAAATCATTCACCGCGAGCTTACAATTACCTATAGTGACGCGAAAGGCTTAGAATTTGTTAGCTTAGCGTTATTTTAACATGCTATGCTAATGCTATAAAATATTTATTATATTATCTGGTCATGTCTTAAAGTATACTTTTGCAAACTACTGCATAACTGTATGTAAATACTCTAAGGGCTATGTTCTTTACTTTTTGTATTCTTTAATTTTTTTATGTCTAATGGTTATGCTATGAAACCTAAAGATTTTACAACTGTAATTGCATTTTGTTTTGTTTGAAAGTTTCTTTACCAAATATTTCATTTAAGTTTATTTTATTTTTAAATTAAATGTTGTTTGATTTTTATTTTCTATAATTTGAAATAAGATAGTATAGTAAATAAAATAAACGTAGTAAAATAACATTAACTAAGTACATACTATAGAAAAACCCCAAGCATTGGAAGTTTCTAAGTCGGTTTATTGTAATGTTAAAATATTTTAAAAGTATTCTTGAGTTACAGACTTAAGAGTATCATCTTCATCATTACAGCTCTTCACAAGTCCACTGCTGAACGTAGACCTCCCCCAAGGAGTTCCACAAAGCACGATCCTGAGTCACCTGTATCCATCAAATTCCTGCATGTCTTACCAGGTCGTCACTCCATCTAGTGGGGGATGCTCTACACTTCACCTAACAGTATAAGGCTGTCACATAAGAACCTTTATTCCCCACTGCTTGTCGGTTCTTCGAGCTATATGGCTGACTCATTGCCACTTCAATTTACTAATCTGTTTAGCTTTGCCGTTTACTCAGGTTCTACTGGGATATCATATACATATGAGTATATGAGTTGCCAAAATCAAAAAAGAGTAATAGCTAGAAATCCTCCCGTGCTATCAATTTTGTCTGCTATTTATCAGACGGTAGCAGGTTGCTATTTATATGACAATGCTATGTTCTACTATGAATAAAACTATTTATACGGATTTTATCACATTTAATTAACTTATTTTTGATTCCCGAAGTTTCGGGTGTTTTACAGCACCCATGATCACAGGGGAACTCAGAAGTAACCGAAAACATCTCACACCCCCAAGTGACGACGAGAAACGTCGGGAATTAAAAACAATTAAACGCGATAAAATCCGTATAAATAGTTTTATTCAATGTGTAGTGTTTACGTAAATTTTAGAAAACATTAAATTGTCTTCATCTCAAAGAGAAAACATTAATCTTGAATGACATTCAAATTCTTAGAGTAATTACATATATTTTTACCTCTTCCGAGCTCGGATTAATAACCTTTATATAATAATGATAATATATTAATAATATATTAATAACCTTTAATCTCTTTATTAAAAGAAAGAGAGTAAAAGTTTTTAAAAAAGAAATTGCTGTCAATGTTGTCACTATAGAGTCGAGACGAAGGGCTTTAGGTCATAGCCTTAGTTATTATTTTGAAAGTTTCGGAGAGACAAAGCTAAGAGTTGAAGTCAAAATATTTATTGTGAAATTCTAACATAAACGTATTGTCTATGGTTGCAAGTAAATTATAACTGAAACTGAAGTAATATGTCCTACGAACGTATAGTAAGTACATTACACTTTAATGATGTTAAACGTTTTTGTTTAAATAACATAAAATGTAAATATGCAAAATCAATTAACCAGTAGTCAGTTATCACTTCTTATTTATTAGTTTGTTCTATCTATAAATCTAAAGTTATCATTTATCGGGATAAAAAAAATTAAACTAAATTTTCATGCTAAACTCTGAAAATAATTTTGATTAATCATTGACTCTAATATAAACAAGTTCCTAAAGGAACTGTAATTCGAAACTTGTCGTCGATGCTGGTGATGAGAAGTATGGATCTACTCACGCTTAGAAGCTAATAGTAGCCATTCAAAGCCTGCGCTCGTGGAACATTGGTTCTAGTTTCTTTTATTATTTTATTAAATTAATAAATAAATATACATTGTACATTATATGATTTGATAATATTACATATCAATGTCAACTGTCAACTAGCGATGGGTCGTTGACGGTTTTTCCTTTAACAAAACGTTAACGTTGGTTTACTTTTGTCAACTAGGTTATCAACTAGTTGAATCCGTCAACGAGTTAACGTACTACTAATATCAACTGTAACTTCATTGAACGGTTTTTATTCTACGCTGCGAAGTTCAATATTTATAAAGAAGAAAGAAAGAAAGAAAAATATTTATTTGGTACGCAAACGTAAAAAACACATAAAAGACATAAACACAGTTTTAATTTAGTTACAAAGAGAAAAAAATTATTTTATGCTATTAGTGCACTAAAAAAGGTTTCCAAAAAGGTTTATTTAAGAAACAATTTATATATATATATATATATATATATATATATATATATATATATATATATATATATATATATATATATATATATATATATTATAGTGCCACCAACTTATCTGTTCAGGTGGACAAAATTGGAACTAAGGCCGCCATTTTGTAAATGACATTTCGCTGTCAGTTATTATTTATTCTGAGCTATCAGGTGAGTGTTTTTAAAAAGTGCAAATAAAATGCCTAAAGCTCTTAAAAGTGATGCGCGACATATTATCCTAAAAGTTTTATCTTTTATGAAAGAAGAGAAACGTGTACAAGCCCCAATTATACCATTTGAAAAGCTGTATGAACGCGTTACTGCCGCGACAGGTTAGTATTGCCAGATATGGAAAATTAAAATCACCTAATAATGTACTTGTGAAAAATAGTAAAAAAAAAATTCTCAATTTACTGTAATTCGTCTAAATTACCTAGCTTTGTAATTTGTGGTCTGTGAAGTAGCTATAGTGACGGCATATACACGGGCTTATATTTATTTAATTTTACCTATACAATAATTATTTGTCGTTTCGTTACAGGTGTTTCTGAGCGATTTGTACACAAACTCGTAAATGAAGAGAAACACGCTGAAGAATCAAATTCTAAAATTTCTACCCCTGGCAAAAAAAGGCAAAGAAAAAACCGGGAAACAAGAAGTTGATAATTTCGACATTGGTGTTATAAGAAGAAAAATTCACGAATTTTATTCAGTGAAAAAAGAAATTCCTACCATACCCAAATTACTGAGTATTTTAAAAGAAGATATTGATTTCAAAGCAGAACGTGAAACTCTTCGAAAATTGCTTCACAAAATAGGATTTAGTTATAAGAAAACAAAATCAAATAGAAAAGTGTTGTATGAACGTAACGACGTAGTTGCATGGAGAGCAACCTACCTACAAAAAATTAAAGAAAATGAGTGTGGTGAAAAAAGACCTATTATTTATTTAGACGAAACTTACATACATTCGTCTCACTCAACTGGGAAATGTTGGCAAGGTCCT